TCTGCCCGTCTGCCCATCTGCTCGTCTGTCTGTCTGTTTCTCTACCTATCTGCCTATCTGCCCGTCTGCCCATCTGCCCCTCTGTCTGTCTGTCTGTCTATTTGTCTGTCTTTCTTTTTGTCTGTCTGTCTGCCCGTCTGCCCATCTGCCCGTCTGCCCGTCTGTCAGTCTGTCTGTCAGTCTGTCTGTATGCATGTCTACCTGTCGGCCTCACTCCTGTCTGTTTGCTGGTTTGCCTTGATTTCTAACGTCTTCTTCAAATTGCTAATTAACAAACGCATCTTGCATCTAAATTAATGCACATGTTGTCAAGTTTAAACCCTGTCATTTATCTAAGAAAAATACCAAACCAACGCAACGAGTGAATTCGATGATCAGCACTTCGGACTTTAGATTGGGAGGTCGCTAATACAGCGTGACAAGAGCTCGTTCGTAGCCGGAGACGAAAACACTTTACTCATAACGTTGATACTCTAAACTAAAAGCAGGGGTTCAAATTTTGGTGGCGAATTGTCGGCGAAACCTACCAAAATGCAACAAAATGTAGCAATCCAACCAAGAGGAAGCAATAAACAATACTCGGTCCATGATACGAAAGCTATGATCAAGAGCCAACGCTGATGAGCCAGGCTTCTCAGATACCAAGTAACATATTAAATACGAAAGACTGAGCGTTACTGCATTTTCAAACAACAAGAAGAGAGCTGAAAATATGACAAGTAGTGAAGTATTTCTGACGAACTTAGAGGTATTTGGAAATGTGTGCAAATGACATATCTAATCAATCAAACTGAAACTAAGGGGAAAACGGAGAAATAAAATCGTCTATTATAAATTCTATGGTAATGTAAGATCGGATATCCAAACACCGTTACGGTCATAATTTGTTTTGTTTCGACTTAATGCTTTATTAATAAGTACCTCCATTGTCAGGTCCTTAAATTAAGTTACTCAGCATGGGTAACTCGACATCAACCTCACTGCACCCACTTATTTCTCAGAATTCCTATCAATCTGAGCTTTTCTCTCCTAGGGATTCCTCTTCTGATTTTCTGCTTCCTCCCACTAACAGGTGAGAATGACAAGACTTCCCCCAAAATGCAACAATTCTAACGCTTTAAACGATTTTCATTCATCTCTACAGTGCTGATGATCGACTTAGTTTGAAAGCCACCTCCGGCTTCACAACCTACGTCAAGGTACGACATGATGGCAACCAGACTTGGCGGGCTCATATCATCTACAGGAGCATGTGCAACATCAACGTCAAGTATTTCCCGTTCGACGATCAAACCTGTAAGATGGTTTTCGCGTCCTGGTCTTATGACGTCAGCGTGATTGACTTACGAGAGAGGCGTGGTCATACAGACGGCAAAGCTGTTGCTAAGAAAGAGAGAGGATCGGACGTGTTCCAGGAAAACGAGGAATGGACTGTGGAGTGGATAGACATCGAGAGGAATGAGGTGCGTTTTTAATTTACCGTTAAAAAAAGGAGGCAGCGTGGTCGAGTGGTCAGGGCGCTGGGTTTAAGTCCCGCTCTGACCACTTAGCCGGAGTTGTCTCTCGGTAGACTCTTGTTCAACTCCTTGGTCATGCTTGTAAATAGCCAACTGGTCTGCTTCCCGCCAGTTGGGATGTTTAAGCCTATTATGTTTAGTTGATATGTTTGTTTCTTTCAGTTTAAGTGGCATGCATGTGAACTAGCTAGGCATTCATTTTGCAAAAATGAGAATGCATAAGGCCCTTCATTTTCTATGTACAAGACATAGGTGGCATACTTATGTCCTCCAGAAGAAATTGCAACATTTATATCACGTCCTTAGAGGTTCTTAAGAAAAAACAGCCTGGGTTAAATTTGGTTGTCGTTGTGGCTTACAAATCTTTTACTCTTCCTTTCAACAGAAAGAAAATGATTGCTGTGATTTACCAGTGGCGGACTTGACCATTACCATGCTTCTGCGCAGACGTACATACTATTACGTCATGAGCCTGATCTTGCCTTGTACTCTCATAGCTTGTACCATCTTCCTGGAGTTTATTCTCCCAGCAGAGTCTGGTGAACGAGTCGGCCTGGGTATCACTATTCTTCTATCAATGGCCGTGTTTCAAGAGTTGACGTCAGAGAAGCTACCTTCAAGCTCTGAGCACTTTCCTCTTTTAGGTATGAATCATGCACTTAAAACCTCTGTTCCAACGGTAGCGAGCAAGATGGTTCATCAAGTTATAACACCGAAATCACGTTTGGGTTTCAGGTAGAAATAAGAGATTGTATGCTAAACTGACTTTCAGTGAAACAATTTTACGTTTCCGCGCTGATTAGAATCAGAACTTTTTTCGCGGTTCCCTGAGATGATACCGTTATAATTGCGACTATTGTGGTTATTGGTAACTTTAGTTTGAGGCAGGTGAACTTCTTAGGACTAAGCTGTTTACATTCAGTGTTTTCAATATTAACTGGCTGTGAAGATTGGTCTTTTGTTGTTGTTTCACCGTCAAGCAATATTTCATCGCGTCAACGTCTCTACTGTTTTCCATAGTGCGTACTTTGTGTTGTAGGAAATTATTTTGCACAGCCGAGTCTTTAGAAATTGCTCACTCAGTGGCAGTGTCGCTGATTTGCGCGGTCACTGAAACAAAAGAGAGCGCCTGGGGACAGCTAGGAGCCAGGGCACATTCAGCAGAGTCTCAATTAATAACTGAATTTCTTGCTTTCGCTTTTTGCAGCTATGTACTATTCAGTGTCAATCATGGAAATAGGTACCGCCCTCGGGGCCACGTGCATCATACTAAACTTTCATCATCGCAATACAAAGATGCCGGGCTGGTTTCACAAGATTGTGTTAGAATGGCTGGCTAAGCTTGTGCGATACGAACCTCGCGTGACCAACCGACACTTGTCAGATTCAGGATCTGTGGACGAAAGCACGCAAAAGATGATTCAATCGAACGCTGCCTCGGAAAGGAAACGGAACGACGCGTTTGATCTGGAAAGAGACTCGATCGAATTTGAAATGGACCTTTTTGAGGAACCTCGTGGGGGACGTGACCAGGTGCTCTTAGCCCAGAATGGAAACATTCCCACAAACCACGTTACCAGGAAGCGCTCGGTCAAAAGAAAACCGCAGGACACTGAAACCGAGACAACTGAGGTACAAGTATCCGAGGCCAGGTTTCCGGTTTACGATGGCAGCAAAGAAGAGTTTTACAAGAAACAGTGGCAAGATGCAGCCAGGATCCTGGATCGGTTTCTGCTTTTGGCGTCGGTCGTGATAGGCTCCGTCTCAGCGATGGCCATTTTTCTGCAATCTCCTCGCATCAGGGGACTTTTTATTCCGTAACACAGGGCCCGCTGTGATTTATGGGAAGACGCCGGAGATGGCTAGAAACGGCAAGATGTTGCTTTGTTTTGAAACTTGCCCTTATTGAACAAAAGTGGTCTTAGTCAACAGAAAACAACAATGCGCCTTGACCATCTGCGATGCAGACGTTTTAGAGACTTGGGTGTGAATTTGTGTGTTACTTGCAAAAAGTGTGAACGCTTTTAAAAGAGCGGCAACGTTTGTCAGCTTTCGTCGCTTCACACAAACATTTTGAGAGAAAAAAGACTAAGGGAAAATCGCTACACGAAACAGGGGTTTCAAATTGACGTCTGCGATAACGGTCTCTCGATAAAATAAACCACGCAAAGCCATTTTGGGGGAAAACACTTCAGCTGTAGCGAAAAGAACATTGCTGATTCAGCAGCAGGCGATAGTGTACAGAGAAGTCTCTTTACGCGAACGGATAACTTGTGAAAACGTTCACTCCGCCATTTATGGTCTATCCCTTTTTCCTCTTTAGCACAGATTCAAACGACGTCCTTATTAGTGCACTAGAATTGAAGCTTGAACAATAACAACAAAACAAACATTTAGGTCCCCAGAGGTCGAACATTTTTATCCCACCCCTTCCCCATTCCCCTTCCACCAACGGCGCTTATTGTGGAAATCAAAAAAGGACCGAGACTTCACTTCGTCAATCCCTTTTTCATCGAGCAATAAAACAACACCTTTTCGCCCCTCCACCCCTCGTAATCTGCAACGGTCCGTTATTACATGTAAGGATAAAAACATTGTTTGGTAGTGGGGGAAAATGAGCATAGTCTCTTGTTGGTAGTCAGAGGTACGAGCTGATTTTAAATTGGATCTTAATTTTTGGGCTGGAAGATGTACAGAAATTTTGTTCTCGTTGCTGTGAATGGGATCAGATGTACCTTAGCGGTCGAAGCTGCGAGTCTATCTAGCACAGCCTTACATACAAAGAATCCGCGCAAAAAACGGAGCGAATTCTCCAATGATTAGCTTGTTATCATGAGAAAATGTGAAACTGATAACTCATGTAAGAGTAGCTTTTTATGATGCAGTGCTTTTACGCTGCCTTCCGCAGTGTATCATTTGCCATACGATAAATGTACATAGTCGCCTAAACATTTCGTAGAGTTGTATTAGTCATATCAGGAACTGCTATGAGTAGATTTCTAGTTTTCCACAAGACTTTGATTTTTCGAGAAAGTAATGTTATAAAAACAGATTCTAACCAGACAAAGGAGTTTTATCTAGAACTCAATTATTTTTGAAAGTCGATGCATATATGGTAGATGTGCATCTTATTTGAATATTTCAATATTCTTACATTTTAAAAGAGCTCAGTCACGGTTTACGCATATTGAAAAGTTTAGCCTCAATTTTTCAAATTCGTCGTTTGTAATCCGTGTCAATCTTCTCCATCCTTGGCCATCCTTGTTCCTTTATGGTTTATCATTATCTCTTTGGTGTTTCTCTATTTTATTAAACTGTTATTTTCAGGTTTCCTACCATTTAAAGGTAATTTTATATGTGGCCAAAATAACTCAAAATACCGTGACTGAGCCCCTTTAAGCTTACATCGCCTGTCCATGTGACAGGTAGTGAACAAAGTTTTTAGTCTTGAGCTGTGTGGGCTTGCCGCACAACAGCTGGCTCATACAGCCTCACATTACATCTACTATAGTCACAAGACATGAACAAGCTGTGACCGAAAATAAATTCAGTGTTTCAGGACAAGCAAAGAGTGTGCACATTGTGTATGTAGGCTTGTCACGCAATCTTCAAAGAAAGGATTGCGTGACGAAGCAAACAAATGACATATGACATAGCTGTACTGGGAGCAATAATGATGTGGGTTAGGGAGGAGGAGGCCAGAAGTCTTGCCAGACTTACTAGGCACGATTTTAAACTATGTCAGAAGACCATCAGTCCAAAATTCAAAGCTTGCGAACTCTAAATCCTTTATATATAAGCGTGTCCTGAAATGAATAGTATGTATACTAAGGTATGGTCCACTTCTAGTTGTCACACTTCGCCTCCTCTCCCCTCCCCCACGGCCACCAGTTCGGGAGATGTTTTTCCTGCACATTGTATTCACCACTCCCGGACACATAGAAAGAGACCATTCCCTACCCATCGGAACTGCTTCTTTTCAGAGGAAGTTGAAAAAATACTATTTCTGTGCGTTCCTGCGTACTCGAAATATAATCCTGAAATTGCCGCCAAGACCGACAGAAAAAAATCCTTTGAATTACTACGTATCGCTTCCGACTGCGAAAAGCGAAATCTCAGTTAAACGATGATTAAACACCCAGTTGAGTTACAATACTTGCGTTATCAAGATATATGAAGAGTTTTGACATGGAAGAGCCGGAGAGTATCATTTTGTCATGTGTGTGTGCTGTAAAAATATTCACACCTCGCGAAAAGAAACCGGCATTTTTCGGACAGGATTCGTTTGTTTTGATATCCCCATGTAGGCTCAAGTGCTTGGAATTATGTTCACTGCCTTGCTTTTGTTAAAGTATCTCGAATGAAGGTATACTTTTTTTTCTGATGAACCCGTTCATAACCTTGAAAAGCTATAAAGTGCACAGCGTCTCCACGTGGTTCAAGTTGAATTCGATCATCACGTATGCACGGTATCAGACAGATATCCATTGAATAATATTCACAACAAATCTCTTAAATACAACTATCAGAATAAACAAAGCTTACTAATTTGAATATATGAAATTATAAAGCTTACAAATTCAGACCATTATGTATGCTTACGCTAAAGCAAATTAAATCGCATCAAGATCGCCTCTAGCACGACATAATGTGTATATAAACTGAATTAAAATTAATTACCATTTACACTAACACCTACCTTAAAATGTAGCTTTCAGCTTCGAAAGAGTAACATCCCCTAGCCATTCGAAGATAAACTCTATTGATGGTCATTTATATTCAGGCGAAAGTCTCAACGAGGTGAGCAACCAACGAAGTTATAATTACAGGCCGTTGTGTACGCGAACCATTGTGTCTCCCCATGGGTCCTTGCGCGTGTACTAAGTTTGATTTGGCCTACCCCTCTACCCTCGAGACGAGACCGCTTGAAAAAATCTCCAGCTTGGCCTAAAATGGGGGAGGGGGTGGGAGAGCGCGAATGAAAGAAGGGGAGACTGGAAGAGAAGAAGAACGCGCTCTTTCACGTTTTTCGCGGGTTTCGACCAAACACTGACTCCCCAGGACAGCTGACCCCCTACTGACCCCTTTACTGACCTCATGTAACATCAACAGGGAAAGACATTTGGAAAAGCCAAGGTCTTTCAAAGGGACCGATTCAAGTTCGTAATGAATCTTAGTTTAGCTGAAATTTCCAATATGACACCCGGACGCGTTGCATATCTCTAACCCTCTTCTCTTGATTGCAAGCAGAGGTTTGGTTTACGGAAGATTGAGCACAGAATAAGTTGGGATACCATCAAGTATGGTATTGGTACCCATTAGAAAATTAAGCAACGAAAGAAACGACGAAACGCTGGCAAGGAACACAAACGCGAGTGCCACGGTCGCCACGTACACCGTACATGAGCAGGACGTTAATTTTGGTTTTAATGTTTTGCACGTGTAAAGTTTTAAGAAAGTGTCGACTAAATGAGATTGAGTAACCCTGAGAATCCGTCAAACCGAAGGTTATGATCCAACTGATCGACTACTTTAACTTGGAGAAAATTGGCTAGACCTGAAACTACCATGCAAAATTCGACTTCCAGTGAGTTACGCGAGTCGCTCGTAATCAATGGCGCCTTTGTTCATTTGCCAGCGTTTTCTTCGTTCCTCTTATTGCCTTATTTTCTAAAGGTTACGAGTACGAATACCATACTAGATTGTATTCCAGCTTATTCTTTGCTCGAACTTTCGTAAAAGAAACCTCCATTAGCAGTCAAAGGAGATGAGAGTCGCAAATCTGCAACGTATCCCCCCGTCTTGGAAATTTCAGTAAGTTAAATTCATTAATAAACATGAATCGGTCCCGGGGTGATTCCCATGTAAAACACGGGGGGTGCTTGTCGTACCTTTTAGGGGTTAAAAAAGCGGTTTTGGTAGCTCTTAGGGTGTTCAGCCTCAAAAAGGTCCACAGTGGAAGTTTCCGCGGTAGACGAAATTCAGTGTCAGTGTTGTTTTAGAATTGGTACCTCTTAGGCGGGAGTGAAAAAAAATTGAAGCCACGCCCACAAAACAGTATAATAGTACTTCTTAGGGTCGGGTTATTTTCAAAATTTACGAGGAGCCCCCCATCCTTTTTGTATGGGAGTCCCCCCGGGAAATCGGTCCCATTGATAGTTCTTGGCTTTAGTTTCTTTTTTCCGTTGATTTTATAGGGGTTAGCAGTGGGTCAGTTGGGGGCTCAGTAGACGGACAGTAGGGGCTCAGCTGACCTGGCCGGGTAGTGTTTTGTCGAAACCCGTTTCAGTTCGCAAAAAAAGTTTCAGCAACCGAAATCGTCAAGTTGTGAAGTTTTGATTGGGACATATGGTTAGAAAGTGTTTCAGGAACTCGTCTGTTTTTCTAAAATGAAAAAAGTGATCTTGCGACCAAACAGGAGCGTGTGCGACGGTGAACTTTCAATGAATAAATTCAAATAAACAACGTTTTTCCATGATCTGCGCTCTTAGAGACCACAGAAAGTCCAAACCGTTACTGTGAAACCCCTCGCAACATAAGAGCTTTCTCGGTTTTCTTCAAGAGAGAGAAAAGTTTAAGCGATATGTTACAACAAGAGGTTAAATATTTGCCATTTCTTGGCAATGTGATGCCAACCGACGGGCGTTGGCAGCCTCGCAATTCCATTTCCTTTAAGTCAAGGGGTAAAGTGGGTTTCAATATCAATTCTTCCCGAAGCGAGAATTTTCTGCGAAACATGACGATGTGGGAGCCGCGAATTAATTTTTATACACCAGTTATCTGTATTTTTATTACCGTTTGCAAGATTACAGATCGCGCGAAAAGCAGAGAAATACAGTATACGTACTCCTAAAAACTCCAAAACGTTGTGGCCAAGTGCCAATTATATGCAAACACCCTCAAAAAGTGTTACTCTTTCCAGGCGAGCTAAATTCATTTATGCCCGAGCTAAATTATGCCGTAAATATAAATTAAGTCTCGGCAGAAGCATGAGCTTCTGGTCTCGGCTAGTGACCAAGTAAAATTTATTGCTTTCGTGCGAAAGACCGAAAAAGCTTAAGCTAAACGTGACCGCCGAGAAATCACGTAATTCCCGAAAAATCTCCATCATTATTTTGAATCCTCTTGGGGAAATCGGAATAATAAGTATATACGTGGCCGTCATGTGCCAACGACTTCCGGCAGCACGAACAAAGGATATCGATGACGTCGCCCGTTGGACTTTGCGCTATCGTTATGGTAACAAACGTTATTTCCCAGCATGCTGCACAAGTATTCTTCCTTTTCAACACTCTTCTGAAACGGAGTGAGTAGAGTGTAACGATAAGCTACGGTACTCACTCAAAACACGCCATTCCACGCAAGAAAATCCATCATTCAAACAGCAATATATTTTTAAGCCTTTCGTCCGCCGAAGAATCCGTTTTCCACGAATTGTAGTGCAACCTGAACGGCTTTATTAAACTACGTTTGGTCGATTCATTGCGACACGCCCGCTCCACGATCGCCATATTGTTGATTTTATTTCACAACTTTGCAGTCACTAAACCGCAAGACAGATACAGGGAGTTAATTTTTCGCCCAGAAGTGAGAGAAAACCGTTCTGTTTGGAAATCTACGAAACTAGCAATGGCAAGATAGCAGTGTTCACGATATCTGGATCTGCGTGGTGGAGAGATCGTTAAAGGAAACTTCGAGAGTTTCCGCGCTTTACTTTCGTTGGCGTGGTTAACCGACTAGCTGCTTCAAACAAGATAAACATTTCAAATAATAACTTGGGTGATATCCACCATGACTGGACGGACTGGAAAACATTTTAGAGGGGATAAGGACCTCATCATTCACGACAAAACTGGAAGGGTAATTTATTTGCATTTGTTGGAGTGACCTCCCGTGTTCCTTACTGTATACAAAGTTGTAGGATCTTTCCGCGTTGCTTTGTAAATCTTTCTAATCTCGGCTGTCGGTTTTACACTGTATACATCTACTTTTATTTGCAGATTTTGATTTCTTGGAACCGCTTCGCAAGATCTCTGAAAGAAGCTTTCGAACTCTATTGGGAAACTAAACAGGTAAGTCGTACTAACTGTTTTAAACATTAGATGATTTGACGATTGGAGTAGTTTGTGCAAATCGGCGCTCCCTCTTTCTCTGTGTTGTGTGCATACAAATCCCACTAGATTTCTGCTGGTACATTTGTTTGATTCCTTGTCTCACTGAAAACGAGATGATCATTTCCGTGGTACATTTCTATTCTTTTCAATCGGGTTCGTTCGCTGGTATTTGCTTGTTTTTAGCTCTTCTTTCTGATGCTACTGAAGCGTGGAATTAATTCAGGCGTTTCCTGAATAATTGATTACAGAAGCTCACATATTTTCCTGGTTTACACAGTTCCCAAAGCTCAATAATAATTCGTTCAGTCTTGGCTAAAAAGTTTCTTTCCGTCTATGCATGCTTCTCGAAAGTTGTGTTTCGCAATAATAGAAGTTGCGTACAGAGCATGTGAAGATGGTCGCGGGCAGCACGTTTCACTCGTACAAATAAACTAAGCAATCTCTTTGATATTTTTATGAACCGCTGCGGTTAGGTAAAATATTCAAGGTTGAGCATTTTCGGCCTTTTGAAGTGTTTTGGCTTCGTCTCGTGTAAGGAATTCATCTAGCGAGTTATCCTTTGCAGAATTGATCGTGCTGTCCATGTGAAGCTACGAGTGTGTGCACTACAGAGGTCACGCCATAATATCAATTTAACGTTTATTCCCCGTAAATCCATTTAGCTCGCCATAGAGTTCCAATTTAAGTCGTTTCATTGTCCAAGTGGTTGTAATATAGGCCGCTTCTTGGGCTGATAAGCTGGCAACTTAAATTTTGCAAAATACACGTGAATAAGCGTGGGCACGAGGCATTGCCTTGTCATTTGATATTTTATATAAAACCCAACAGTCTCTCCACTGTTTGTTTGTTGTTTTTTTTTTTCTTATTAAAAAAGCTATCGTGTTCTTATTTCTTAACAACAATAACAACTTTATTCCCATGTTTGAACAAAACGCTGGAATTTAGGCTGATTTTTTGTATTATTATTTTTGTATTTTTTATTTGCACACTCCCCCCTGTGACCAACCCCTCTATGTAGGGCACCTTTGGCGGCGCAGGGTCTGTCAGGAAATTTTTTCAAATTTTAAACCACTTGGAAGCAAACTTGAAAGGTGCGGACAACAAAACACTAGGTTTTGTTTTGACACTTAGTATCGTTTTTGTTTGTAGTTGTTTATTCTAGGAGGGTACTTGATAGAGGACAAAAAAGACAATTTACTTGTAGTTATAGGCTTACTTTTTCCCCTTAGATCTCTACCAAGGTTTTAGAGTTTCTTGTGTGACTGGTTTACACGTGGAAGTCTACATGTACTAACACAAGAAATTCATATTGTTTTTTTCATATAGGCCGAGCTAACCTCCTGGTTTGAGGAACTACCAAGAAAGATAAAAAAGATTCCTTTCAAGGATACAGCCCTTGCTGCTATTCCATTTCTAGCGTATCTCCTAGTTTATTCAAATTATTCTCTTCTTCGGAGAATTATAGGACTTGGAAAAGTGACTAAACCTAATCATACATTCCTGCCATGGATGGAGGTGTTAGTTTTTCACTGTTTCCCTCATCAGATGCTAGCAAAATTTGCACATCCTGTCCTGGACTGTATCGCTGCTGTACCATATTTATTTCACTTTGGCCTTCCATTCCTGTTTATATTTTTCAAAGTGGCAAGCAATCGCAGCATTCATGGAGTATTTCCTTTCCTTTGGTGTGCTGGCTGGGTGAATCTTGTCGCGACCATAATTCAATTCCTGTTTCCTACAGCACCACCTTGGTATGTGGACTCTGTTGTGTTCAGTCCGAACGGTGATGTTCTGAAAGCAGGAGCAAATGAAGCTGGATTTCATAGACTTGACGCAGCTCTTGGATTTCCATTCTTTCACGGCATCTATGCTGCTTCTCCATTACCATTTGGAGCATTTCCTTCACTGCATGTCGCATGGCCTGCCGTGATTTTAGTTAGTGGACCTTGGATAAATGAAAAATTTGCCATGTTTCATGTTGTATGGATCACATGGGCTGCTCTTTATTCAAATCACCACTATGGCGTCGACGCAGTGGGAGGAATATTTTTGGTGTTTCTGGTTAATTTTATGATGCGCAAGGTGTGGTGTCCATTTCCTCTTGAGAATGGCAAGAAGCCATCTTGTCATATATGTAGAAGAATGTCGCCACCTTTACTGCAAGTTTAGCCACGTAGTACTAGTTTGAAATTGTATAATTTTATCAATCAAGGTTAATATGGTAACTTATCATCCCAGAGTGGTATTTTCATTCTCACTCATGGCAGGCAATAAGGTGGCTTTGAATCTTTTTTGTTAAGTGACTTAAGTCATGAAAAGCAAGGTATTATGTTCCTGTTACTGATGTCTTAGTTGTCTATGAGTTGAAAACTGATTATTACAATATTTGGTCAAGAGGAATAGACAATTTTGCAGAGTTTGGTTTCACTTACTGTTTGGTAAAATCTAATAATTATAGAATTTCAAAGTCTAGTTTATTGTAAATGATTATTCACAGAGGTGTTGAATATTGATAGTGTGGTGTGGTTAGATTTGACCAGAGAATCTTAAGAAAAGATTATATCTTACAGAATTTTTTACCCTAGATAGGTTAAATGCATACTAAGAGAAGATAGTTTTTCAAAAATATTATAATGCTTCACAATACAATATGCCATTGAATTTGATTGCATTCATTCATGCAACACTGATTTGGATAGTGCTTTCAATACATGGAAATTTATTATGAGAGTTAAAACATTTTGATAGTTAGCTTTTTTTTTTTCGATTATTACTACTGGTCAATAGACAGTTGTTTTGAGTTATTTTGTTTTCTGTTGTGTAAATTTTTTTTTTTAACAATTGCACTTATCAGTCCCTTAGTGGTGTAATCAATAATATTAATTAATTTGTTGTGAATAATTTCGCCAAGAAAGCAAGCCATGTTTTTGGTGGGGAGGGGGGGGGAGGGGAAGGGGTGGGTGATGTGTGTCTACTGACCCACATTGGCTGTTAAGTTTCACAGGAGAGAATTAAATTCTTGGATAATAGTCAGTGACCATTCTGAGTTTCTTCACATGGGTTTGTGCTGTCTCCTCAGATAGCCATTATGTGTTTTCTACAAAACTTGTCGTAAATTCATGATAATATGTCACCAATATAATATGTCACCACTCCTTAAAACTACAACATTTAGTTCACACAGGTAAACAGTTTCAGAAGTAGATACTCGTGTATATTTTACTGGCGTATTGGTTTAAATGTGATTTGATGTGGACAGTCATGGATTTGATTTACAGTGATAGTAAAGATGTGTAGAACGAGAATGTTGCTTTTGCTATCGCACTATTTGTCAACTTGCTTTTTTCGATCTTTATGTGTATCACTTCTCATTACTAGCATAGTGAATTTACAGCAGCAATAGCAATTTCGTTCAAACAATTTGAATTTAGATCAAGATTTTGTGAAGAAAATTTTATATGAAATAAGAACTCACTGGGTTGGTCTCAGTAAGTGTTCCACATTTATTTAAGCCAGGCAAGTAAATTCAACCAACATTCAACTCTCAGGCCCATAAGTAAGCCCCCACTAGAGAAGTAGGAAGAGGGAAGGGGGCCTCTTGCCATTTCACACGCTCGCTTTGTCTTGTTCTCATTGCCCCAACCCCCACCCCTGTGAGATGTAAGGCTAAGCCATATGCCCTATGTATAACCCATGCCCTTCTCACCTACAGCTGTGCGGGAGAACGTTTTAATTTGCTATGGTAATGAATGAGTTGGTGCTGGGAGGGGGATCAATTGGGATTGAAAGTGTTTGCCAGGATAGGGGTGGCCTGGCTGCAGGCTTATCTCTATCTCCTTCCTAGAACTTATTTTGGTAACCCATCCAAATTTAATGTGTGGGGGGAGGGGGTGGGGCACAGCAGTCCCACTCTGCACTAAAATCGTCATTTGTCGGAACAGTTTGTCCTCGTATTTTACTCGGACATGCCCTCGCTACTGGTCACCCAAACTGAGTGGCCATGGGATCGAAATGAATGAGTACCGGGGTCGCGCGGCCTTTCTCGTCCCAGTCCATCTCGTACTCTCCTCCCCTTGCTGGTACACTGTGGGAGGGTCTGTGCATGTAAATAAGACCCCAACTTACAACGTTAAGACGGCGGCGCAGTTGTCCGTTTCGTAATTTCGCGACACTTAGAAATTTTTTAACTATCAACGAATTTTTGTAAGTAACCACCCAGTATCGAACCCGAAACCTGTTTCCTAACATCCCTCTTCTACCACTACACTACCAGGTTGATCCGCCAAATCTCCGCAAAATTTAATTATAAAACGTGACTTTCTTGAATATTAATGATAAAGATGCCCCAACCATCAAATAAAAGCTAACCGCAAGCAAACCAGAGTGAATATGAAAATTCAAGCATTTGACGAGTGCGTTTTACTCAATCAACAAATTAAAACCTGTTGCTACCTTGTCCACGCCTACACTAAAGCAGATATGGCATTATCCATTCTGACAGGCTTGGTTACCAATGATGGCATCGACCGTTTACGAAACGGAAATCAGCGACGACGGCCCTTAACTGAGCAGTGTTATTTCCTTCATCCTCCATCGAGGACATAAATCCATTTGTGAATAAACCGGCTATTCGGATCAGCTATCGACTGCGCATTCAAAGTAAGTGCACGCCTGCAATTTTTTCAGGCATCAAAAAGGCTAATATTTAAGACATACCAGTCGAATCAGTCGCAAATAAATAATGCAGTAAATAAGCTCGGTGACACTTTCATTAGCAGCAACAATTTTCCTTTTGAAACGGGAACTTGTTCATCTAACATTTAAACGTTTTTAATCTGGCCTAATTTTCTGTTACTGCCACTTTACCAATTGAAACGACCGCATCGCCCGTTTCGCCGGCACTACTTTAAAACTGGCGGAGGTGAACAAACAAACCCTGAGGCGAGGCGATGTTTGTTTCGTTTCTAGTTTTAAATGTTATTGTAGATAAGAAAACTGGATGAAATAAAATACGTGTCCATAACTCAAAATTGTGCTAGGCCATTAGTGATGCAAGGTTTTCCATGTTGTCAGTTGCTAAATAAAAAAAAACTTCTCCTCTCAAGAAAATTCGCTACATAAGAGGTTAAAAGTGTATCAAAGCAAGAGGCCTGTAAAATCAAAAAGTCAATTTGCAAGAGGCGGTTAACTCGGGAAGAAAAAAACTGATATCCTCATTCGATTCCGGAAATGATGAAAGCGACATTAAGGTAAGTTAATGTATACAAACTTCTCTATAATGCAACGCTTCCCGACTGAAGCCATACACAGTAAATTGTGTTTTCTTTGTGTGCAGAGGAAAAAGGCCGCAAACGAGACCGTATTGATAGTTGAGCATTCCCTTTTTTTACAAAATGACAAGAGTTACTTATGTGGCGGAATTAAACCTCTTCGATTGATTATTTATTTTTCGAGAGAGAAGAAAGAACGGAGCCTACTCTTATTTTTTCTCCAAGCAAGGAGCGATAGAAGCCACACCCAATATTACGAGGTCACTGTGCAATTTTTTCTCCGTGAATTTGATTTTGTCAGCAACTTGACAAAATTGAGCTTGGATACCGAAAATGAGCAGCTTTTCAGCTGCGGTTTTGTTCACTGCCTTTCATTTGCTTTACATCATCTGTCAGCATTTGCAACTGTTGATTGCTCATGAAGGAGACGTGCCGTCTCAAACTACTGGGTGTAGTTATACGTCAAACTACTGCAATTCATCGTGCTTACAAGAACTTGGTGCAAACTTTGGCATTCCCCTGATTACGGTGAATTGTTCCGCGAGGAACTTGAGCGAATTCCCAACACATTTGCCAATAAATACTGGAAAACTTGCACTCGACTTCAACCCGATTCCTAGCTTAAATGTTGAAGAAATGAAAAGGATTCGTTATCTTAAAGAGCTGATGATCGAGGGAAACACCATTACGTTTATCCGCGAAGAAACTTTTCAAAGTAATTTCATTTTGCAAGGGTTGAATATGGGAGGCAACAAACTCCATGATCTTACCTCAGGGGTATTTAAAGGATTGAAAAACTTATTGGAGCTGTACCTTTATCGAAATTGTATTTCTCGATTAAGGAATGGAACTTTTGAAAATCTGATATCACTAATTAATCTTGATTTGAGCGAAAACAACATTCTCGTAATCGACAAAGGAGCATTTGCAGGTCTTCGACACTTAAGATATCTAGACCTGTCGGGAAATAGGCTTGGTAAAATCTTTCAGGTACATTTCAACAAACTTACGTCATTAACAACATTGGGCCTTGGCTTCAACAAAATATATTTTCTTGAATCTAAATCTTTTTCTTTTTTCTTGCACTTGAAAATCCTGAACCTTGGTCATAATAACTTAACCAGTCTGCCAAAGAAGGTTTTTAAACCTCTGAAGGGTTTAACGAATCTTGATCTCAGTAAAAACCCAATAGAGTTTATTCCTTTGGATATTTTTTCCAGTTTGCGCGCTTTGAAATTCCTAAACTTGAGCTCTTCCAGCGTTCGGGTGTTTCATGGTACATATCTCAAAACAATCTTGCCTCGTTTGAAAATTAACGTACAACACACCCCTTTGGACTGTACTTGTGATATGCGGTGGCTCAAAGAATGGTTTCACGACAACACTTCTCAAAACAGCACATTTCTCAACAGTTCAGAAGTGAGATGTAAATATCCTAAAACGTTGAGAGGAAAATCGCTCTTGAGTTTAAACATTACAGACTTCGGCTGTTCGTGTGAATACTGTCAAAGGTCCTCTATGTGCGTTTCTGGCGGGAAAACCTGCAACTGCGCAAACAAGCTGGCGGTGCCCTCATGTTCTGACACCTGTCAATTCAACGACACCAGTAGAGTCGCACCATATGAAATGATATGTAGCTTTTCGCAAGGCANTTTTTGCTCCAACATGTCTGAGCTTTGTGTGGACAATGCATATCTTACCTATTCCAACCTCAGTGCACAGTGCGCCTGTAAAACCGGTTACCAAGGCAACGGATTTCTCAACTGCTCGGACGTTGATGAGTGTGTGCAAGCGCGTAATGTTTGCCACAGCGATGCTGACTGCATCAACACCGTGGGCTCGTATCGATGTGTTTGCCTTGAGGGTTACCATGGGGACGGAGTGACCTGTCACTCAATCAAGTATCGTAAGACGGTTGTTATCGTTACCACAACACTTTCTCTTGTAATATTTGTTACACTCATTAGCACGCTGATCTTCTGCGTCGCTCCCAAAAGAATTCAACAGATCAAAGAAGCGAAAAAATCTACTGAGAGAAGAAGAAAGAAAAAACAATCAACCAGGCGATATGTGGACTTGCATAAAATTCATGAGCTGGGATTTACTAATACTGCTTGTACACCAGGTAAGAGTTATATTGATCGAGAAAATTATTGCTTTTAATGATTATAGGGAGTCATTTCCCTGGGGTATCTTCTGTGGGAAGCTAGACCACTGCGGATATCCCCTCCCCCATGTTGTTCCTACGACAACTGCCAATGGAAGAACAAAGGAGAGCAGGGCAAGAGCAAAAACTCAGTTCAGAGCAGATGACAACCACATAGGTTAAGTCTAAGTCTGGAAACACTTTACTCTGTTAGTTTAGTCTCTTCTCTGGCGTCAACTGAGCTAAAATAAGGAAAAGAAATATTAATTCACACTAGGCCTTATTATTCCTGTGAGACTGCTGTAAACGGGACCACCAAGACGACGATAACAAGATAAATACAATCACACACCTTTTGTTGCTTTGACAGAGGAAGGCAATAGAGTGGACGAGTGGGAAATCCCCCGAGAAAAGTTGCACACCTTCAGTGTAATCGGTGAGGGAGCCTTTGGAGTAGTAATGGAAGGGGTTTGGGATTCAGGTAATTACTTCTTGTATTCATCGCTGTTTCACTGGAACAGCAAACAGTGTTGAAAAATAATTAATTGATAACCAGAAATCAATGTTACTGATGTGTAACGTACTGTGAACATCATGGGAAATGTAGCATAACAGAAATTAAATTCACGAACACAGATTAGCTCTTTCCTTTTACCACTTCAGCGAGAACACCAAGTTCGTCTTTTAAAGTAAGCGTCAAGGTAGAAACATCAACTCAGAAAAAATTCCGAGTTCCAGATCGAATTTGAACCCACGACCCTCCGTGATCTAGTCGGATGCTCTAACCACTGAGCTACTGGAGACTCTATGGTGAGCAAGGGTGAAATGTGGATCTTTGACTGGAACCGCATCGCGCAGTCACACAGCCAAATGATGTCTTGGCGCATATGAATTCACTAACTGCATCGCGCAGTCACATTAAGGCATATCAAAAATGCAACCAACCACCCTCCAAAGTGAGTATTATAAGGAAATTTTCAAGGTAGAAATTTGTGTTTTCTTTCTGGAACTCGGAATTTTTTTCTGAGTTGATGTTTCTACCTTGAAAAAATTTCTACCTTGAAAATTTCCTTATAATACTCACTTTGGAGGGTGGCTGGTTGCATCTTTGATATGCCTTAATGTGACTGCGCGATGCAGTAAGTGAGTTCATATGCGCCAAGACGTCATTTGGCTGTGTGACTGCGCGATGCGGTTCCAGTCAAAGACCCACATTTCACCCTTACTCACCATAGAGTCTCCAGTAGCTCAGTGGTTAGAGCATCCGACCAGATCACGGAGGGTCGTGGGTTCAAATCCCATCTGGAACTCGGAATTTTTTTCTGAGTTGATGTTTCTACCTTTAAAAAATTTCTACCTTGAAAATTTCCTTATAATACTAAAGTAAGCGTAGCCATTCAAATACAGACCAGTTATGCGTGCGACGTTTTTGGTGTGGTATACCATGGAATATTCCACGAGTCACTTGTATTTCTCAGTATACAAAGGAGCCTTTACCATGACAGAACGTTGCATAACTATTTTATATCATGCCATAGAAAATACAGTGGCCAACACAATCAATGCGACATACGCGCGGCGCATGATGGGAAGGTTTTTGTAATACCGTCGAAGTACAATGGCTTTCATCTATTCTAATTGGCTGCGTTTTCTATGGCATGGTATAAAAGGAGATATTCTGAGACCGACCCAATAAAGAAATGACCACAGCGAAATGTGCTATCTTACTATGTTGTTTTCAGATGAAGGGACCACAAAAGTGGCTGTTAAGACCTTAAAACCCGGTGCGGATCGCCATGACT